CCTGACAGGGTGTACAACCCCCCCGCCCAGACGTGTCACCGTCCCTCTCCCCGTCACTGACCCCGTGTCCCCTCTTGCTGGGGCTGCTGTGACACCCCCGCGGGGGCTACACCGGGAAACGCCGACGGTGGGATCGATCCCACCTCTGCTCCCACCATTACAGCCCCGAGAGAGGGGAAACTGAGGCACAGCAGCCACCACCCACACCACTGCCCACTAATTATCCACAGGCGTTAACGAGCCGCCCCCACCCCACCGGGGGTAGTTGGGACTGTCACTCCCCGAGTGCTGTGACACTCGTCCAGCCATTAAAGCAAACAGTTGTGTGTCAGGGGTGACAATTCCTGGTGCCGCTGTCTCACGGGAGAATCTCTGCAAAAACACCCTCGGGCGGATCCAGGGCTGGAAAAAGGCTCCTGGGAATAACCCCGGGAAGCAGGAGAGGGATTTCCACCGGGTGGATTTACCGGGCTACACCCAGTGGGGACAGGACAGAGGGGACAGGACAGAGGTGACAGTGTCTCATGGGACTGATCCAGCGTCCGGCTCAGGGCTGATGAAAAGGAGTTGGGTAAAAAACAGGGGAATAGGGAATAACGGGGAGACCACTCCGGTGGTGGGAGTGGGGAGGGAACACTGGAGATCAGCCAGCCCCACTCCCCAGGAACCCCCCGTCCCCAGGACAGACACTCTCACACGTCCACCTTCATCTCAGCATTAAATGATTTTTAAAAAACTGTAAGAAATCACCACTCTCACATAATTTTTGCCCCCAGAGCCCGACCCCGGCTCCACGGCTCCAATCTGGGCTCCACCACTCCAGCGTCAGCGAAACCTCCTCTCCTCCCACACGTACCGCTTCCCTGCCGGCACCTTGCGGAAGAACAGGCTGTTCCCTCGGCTCATGTTGCCCTGGAAGGGGGAGATGACGACCACCGGGTGAGTCAGGGTGGTCCCCGGCCCCGGTGTGGCCACCCCAGAACCCGCCGGGCTCCCAGCCCGTTCTCCTCCGTTACCGGGCATTTTTGCTGCTGGCTCCAGTGACTTACCTCCCTGTGCAGCTGGCTCCAGCAGTCCAGCCAGGAGGAGTAGGTGGGTGCGTAGGGGAGGAGACCCCCGGCCAGCCTGGGGAAGGGAGGGGAGACCCACAGGGAATTATTTCCACCCAGGACCCGTCCCCTCCGCAGCTCCACACTGGCCTGAGCCCCAGAACAGCCCTTTTGGGGTCGGGCACCCACCCCACACACCCCCACTGATGAGGGATCAACCCCACAGTGAGCCTGGAGCCTCTGGGCCACCCGGGAGCTTTGGAAAGGCAGTTCTGGGAGTGGATCCAGTGTGAGGGACGCGGCTGTCACCCACGCCAGCCCCCCAACGTGTGGGTCACCCTGGCAGGGAGGTGACAGACAGACTCACCCGCAGTTATTGACAGCCATCAGGTTGGAGACCAGCACGAAGGGGTAGGTGAGCATGCTGGCGAAGAACTGCGGAAGGAGAGCAGGGCTGGTGGGCAGCAGCTCGTAGGATCCCTCCACGTGGGGAGAACAGACCCCAAAAGATCCCCCAGGGACCCCCACACGTGGGTGTTACACCCCCCAGCACCCCCATACTCACTCCAGTGACTGCCTGGGAGTAGCTCTTCATCTCAGCCATGGTTGAGACCTGAGGGAGGAGAAAAGGCACCTTCAGCCCCCACGGAGTCACAAGGACACCCCAAAGTGGGGCTCTGTCCCCCTGGAACTGTCCCTGGAACCTCCTCTGTCCCTCACTGCTGTCAGCTCAGCGCTGGCACCACCGCTGTGCCACCCTGTCCTGGTTTCACTGGGAGAGAGTTAATTTTCTCCTTAGTAGCTGGAATAGCCGGGGTTTGGTTTCAGATGGGATTTGTCATGAGAAGAATGTTGATAACACACTGATGTTTTGAGTTGCTGATGGAAGTGCAAGGTCAACGTGTTTTGCCAGTTTGCAAGTGCAAAGGAC